CCCGCGCGTGGCCCTACGCACCACTGCCTGCCAGCGTGCTGCCAGCGCGCCCATGTGCGCGGGCTGCACCCGTTGGGCACCCAACTCGCATGCCTTCTGTTCCTTCGAGCAACCTGGTTCCTTAGCCATCCCCACCAGGTTCTAACCCTTTGATAATCATCCAAATACCTCCGATAGCGCTTCCTTTCGGGGCGTGGTCTCGCCCGTGCACGTCTACGCCAATGCGCGTATTCGCGCCCTTGTCTAATGAGCCCTTTCTTGCACTCGATTGTCGCCCACTTATGGACCACCCTTTTGCGTGCCCTTGCATTCCTCCATGCGCGACCTTCCTTGGCCGACTTGTGTGATCGCGCGTCCAACCGGCGTTCTCTTCCACGTGCTTGATCGCGCGCTATCTCTTGACCTACAAGCTTCGACCCACTCACGCTCGATCCTTGTATAGTCGACCCTTGTATGGCCGACCCTTGGCTCACCGGGTTCGCCTCATGCGCTCGTGCATCGATCTGTTGGGCCTTTCGTCGGCTACCATGATTCACGCCTATGCCAACTCCTCGATCCAAGCCTGTCCGTGCTATGCGCTTATACCTCATGCTCCTCGGGCTCATGCAGCGTCTTCGTGCGCGTATCTTTGTGAACGTGCGAGCTCTTCTCGCGCGTACCCGCTCCTTTGCACAAGACATCCGTCGACTACCTCGTGTTCGCGTGGACTCGTGCCTCTTCTCATGTGCTTGAGTGCCTCGCATACGAGCTCGTACCCGCCTCTTGTGCCATGCGTGCATCGTTTTGGCCCTATTTTCAGCCTCCTCGGGTCGTCTCGGCTCTTGGCCCTTCTTGTCGTCGGGGCTCGAAACCCACTTCCGCATCATTCCCGCCCCCTTTGAGAATGTCCTTGTCCTCAAGGACTCGTCATTTACCATCAAAACTTCGGGGACTTCTTCTTTGATCACGTTGACCTTTTCTTTATTATTCTCGACTTCATCGTCCTCGGCTATCTTGGCCACGTCTGAAACCTCCTCGAGCCTTGGAGCTTCAACCATCTCGACTTCGTGCGTGTCTTGTTCGATCACAATTTTTGTCTTGCACTTATCGTGCTCGAACAATTCGACCTCCGTCTCCTTCTTGGACTCGCCTTGGGCCTTGCTACTTTCTCGCATATCCTTCTTGACTTGGGTGTGGCCCATGAATTCCTTTTGGTAATTAGGCAAACTGCCTCTCTTCAATTTATGCGAGGGAGCCTCGTCGTAATGGCAATAGATCGGGGTCTTGAACCGTGCGACGAGCTCCTTCTCAAAATCTTCCCATCGAGTTGGTTCGCGCGGTTGTGGTAGAGCCATCGCCACCAAGCT